AATAGTTTGAGTAAACCCAGCTTTATTAAGAAGATAGCTCGAAACAAGATTCTTCCTTATCTCTGGAGTGTCTAAGATATCTCTCAGAATCATCGTCTTTCCAGAGGTAAAGTTCAGCTCCACATCCCCAGAACTAGCAACTATAGTGGTGTGGGTAGTCCCCAACAACATTTTCTTATCAACAGGTGCCTCATTGTATGTGTTGAACATAACACGGTTATTGTGGACGTGTTTTGAGGCCCCAGTATCCAGTCACCATCCTTATGTGTTACCAATGAGGTTAACTTCCGCTATCATATATGTGATCATGACCACCAAGTCCTCCTCGGTCCATTTAACACTATCAACAATGTTAGACTTGTTTCTGCACTTTCGTGCCATATGACCTGGTTTCCCGCAGTTATAGCAGAAAACAGAGTGTCATTGTTAGAGGGTTGGGCCACGATCTTCTTGTTACCTTGAGGGGCACCATTCTGATTGGGGTGGACCTTCTGGCTCTGATTCTTGAAACCCTTAGGGTTGGATTTCAGAGCTCTAGGAGTGGATCGTCTAGTACTGAGAACTAGTAATTCTTCATTCATATCTTGTTTACGACCGTCTTCCTCTACCCTTAGGCGAGTTATCAAACTTTTTAGTGAAAATTCTTTAGTTTTATGCCTAAGAGCATTCTTAAAATCTTTCCACGAAGGGGCAACTTATCTATTATGCAAGCAACTTGAAACTGATTGTCCAGAGGCATACCTTCAGAAACGATCTCATGAGCGATTTTCTGAAGCTCGTGTGATAGAAGCTCAATAGACTTGTCGTCCACCATCTGGTAGTGGAGGTAGGAGCTGACAGCATACTTCTTAGCTCCAGCCTCCTCAGTGTCATACTTATTTTGGAGACCATACCAAACCATCATCGCGGTGTTGTTCTGGTCCGCGTAATAGTCGTAGAGATCCTCAGCTAGCCCATGAAGGATGTAGTTCTTGCACAAGAAATCCTCCTCTTTCACCTTTGCAGCAGCAACCCTTTCCGCATCAGTTGCTTCTTCGGTCAGTTCCACCGGCATGTTGGTGAGAGAATGTGCCAACTTCTTGGTTGTCAAGTAGAATAACATCTTCTGTCTCCAGCGGCGGAAGTTGACTCCGAGGAAGTGAAAGGGTCGATTAATATCGACAGTGCAAAATCCGGGCATGTTCTGTTCGGTAGCCATAGCAACAGCAGATTGTCTTACAATTGTTAGGAATCGAACAATTGAAACAATGGTTATCGAATCTGGCTGAGTCGTGGACTAGGTCGCTTTCTTTAAGACGTTTGCGGCACTGCCTCTTAATGCGCACGACAGACTATCAGTCGGCCGCCTCCAGGATAAAAACAACCACACTTTGTTTCTCTCATGACTTGTGCAAAACCGGAGCACTTTAAGTCTCACTCTCTTCGTTTTTGCTCTATATCTTTAGGGTTAGGCGACTCATCTATTTATATAGGATGAGACCATCAGACTTTCCCTCTTGGTGGATGATTCAGAATCGTCTTAAGGAAGGAAATCAATTAATACAGACAATTAACCAGATTGATAAAAGTTTTCTTCAATACTAGAAATCAATTCGATTGATTAAAACTTTCCGTTAGTGTGGGTAATTGATATGATCATGAAAGATTCTTTCAATATGGAAAATCAATCCAATTGATTGGAACTTTCCATTAATTCGGTCAATTAATTCTGCTTGAGCAAACATTTCCTTTAATATGGAGAATTCATCGGAATTAACTTCACTTACCTTTTTCAAGGACTTTTCTTTAGTTTTTACAAACTATTCACATTTCTCAACGTTATGTGATGAAATCGACCTTGTCACTGAAATATTCCTCAAAGAAGAGGCAGTTTGTTGTAGTGAATCATTTTGGTGACTTACAAGTATAAAAGCGTTAGTTCATTGGGTCGACTTTTTACCATGAAAGTTTGTATGTTGATCAGAAGTGATCGACCTTTGTCAGAAGCAATCCACTGTTCTCTGCAAATTAACCGTAAGTCACTGTTGTAGTAAAATCCTAAAGTTATGATAGGGGTTTCAGAGATTAATCATGAATATACTCAGTGGCGTAGCCAGGATCTTATGTAAGGTGGGTCCAAAATTTTTTTATATTGCAAGAAAAATTTGAGTCCTTATACTGCCCCATAATGTGTTCTCATGTATTGACGAACTTGCATTCATATGATATCGATGTCAATATATCCTATACAATAATCAGTCATGATTTTGTCACCCATTAGATAACAAAGAGTGTTTTCACGTGGCTCATTGAAAATGTCATTTCAATACTTGCAGTGGAGCCTTAGTGAGCAACAACAATAAGTTACTTCTTTCAATTACCATGATTCGAAAAACAACTCCTAATTCTATATAGTTTTAGACAATAGCTAGCCTATATTCACATCAAAGTATACATATAATAATCTAGTTGAGGTTTAAAACCTGATATATTGAATTTATTATTAGGATAAAAATAATCTAAGAGTTTCAACAAAAGAAAGTTTTTGCGATATATAATGAATAAACCTGAAATGGTTGAACCACGATTAAACCACGTTTACAACATAAAATATCCTACCATTGACTTGTCCGATTTAACTTTTGGTACGATTTTTAATCTTTATTATTTAGGGGTACATATTTTCTCCCGATCCAAAGTGGATCCCGGGACCCACTTAATATGCACTGGCTCCACCACTGGGTTAATTCCCTAAATATTGTTTTTTTTAATTTACCACGAATATAGTGGTTTAAAAAATATTTACAAGAATATTGTGTTTTTTGGTATGTTTAAAGCGCTAAAGCTATAGAACTCAAGCGCGGCCGCTAGGTGCTGTTTTTTCAATAAAATCTAGCGGCGGCGCCCGAGACTGGGGCTTTTGGCCTTTAAAAAAAGTGAAAGCGGTGGCGCCCCAGACTGGGGCTTTGTCGCTGCCTTTTTCTTCCACTCCAGCACCACCCATCACCATATATACTGCACCTTTCCTTCGGTTCTTCACCACCAAAAAACTGAAAGAAATTCCGAAAGAAGCTCTGGTGTTGTTGTCTGGTTGCTGGGAAGATGGCTAATAATAGGTAAGAGACGTATATATTTTTTAATTTATTCATCATAATGATTTTGTCCAGTTAGTAATTAGTGAGTTTAAGGAAATAAAATTCCTTGCTCTCATGCCATTTCAGCTTGCAACCGAATGGGGGCTAATCCATATAGGTTTGTAAACGACGTCTATAAGCTTCAAACAGTGTTGGCTTGTTATGGGACAAGTTTCACTCCTCTTGGTGAACCTAAGGGTTGGAAGAAGCACAATGACCCTACTCTCCACCCCAATCTAGACATGATTAGAAAGCCAGGGAGGCCAAGATCAACACGAATTCACAACGAGATGGATTGGCCAAGGGAAGGTTCATCACAGCAAGTGTGTAGCAATTGTAACCAAGTAGGACATAATGCGTCAACCTGTGGTGGCCAAGCAAGTGGGAGTGGGAGCAACCGAAGAGGGAGTGGTGGCCAATGAAGTGCGAGAGATGGTAGAAGAGGAAGTAGAGGGAATAGACGTGGCTGAGAAGTTTGTTCGAATGTAGCAGTTGTTGTTTCCCTTTCGATTTACCTTGCAGAAGTTGTTGTTGTTTGAAGTTGTTGTTTAGACTTTTATGAACTGAACTAGTTGTTGATGTTTGTTGGTTTTATATTTAAAGTTTCCATTTAGACAATAGCACTAACATGAATTAGCCCGCATGAAATTAAAAATAGTCCCAAATAAGTACATAATAATAAATAGTCTCAAAGAAGTACATAAAAATATTACATAGTCACAAAGGGGATAATAATAATAAATATCTCATAGAAGTACATAAATACACTAACGACCACCACGCCGACCACCGTGCTCTGCCACTAGATGGCCGTCAGTACCACACCTCGCTGGCTCCTGTCTCGTATAGGCAACTGATCATCTCTCTCCGCCCCATCATCCTGATCCTGTGTGCCAAACATATCATCCACCTGAGACTGAACCTGCTCATCTGGTGCACCCTCTTGTCGCTGCTGCTCATATGCCCACTGAGATGTCTGGAAGGCCGTCTGAGACTGAACTTGCTCACCTAGACGCTCCCACTCATCGACGTCCAAATGTGGCACGTCTGCACTACCTGATCCCATGTGTCCGCCTCCCACCATAGCATGCTGCGGTGTGTGAAAGCTATCCTCCGGTGGCCAAAACTGAGGGCTAGAACTGGTGCCTGCCTGAAATCCGGTAAAAGCGCCCGACTGAAACGGTGGCTGAGAAGGCTGGTGGAAGGTGAAGGTCGAAGTAGGTCTGACTGGCTGACGATCTGAGTACCTCACCCCTCGAGGTACGTCACGCTGCTCAAGTTGATGTCTCCTCCTCATGGGCTCCTCTGTGAACTATGGTGGTGGCACGCCCCAGTCCGATGGCTTAGCACTACGCTCTGGTCAGATGGCTAAGCTGCGCTCATCAGGGTACCTCTGTATCGGCTCTGTATCAGGATGTCGACGATCACTAAAACCTAAAGCTGTAACCCCTGCCGCCAACTGCTCAGCATACTCCGCCATCTAGTCATAGGACAGCCCTCCTGCTCTCATCCCATCACGTAAACCCTGCTCAACGGACTCCATGCAGTCGTACTGCAAATTAAATGTAAAATATCAGAAATTCTACACATCTAAAAACAACTAAAACAAAAATTTTAATTAATAAAAAACTCACCGCTGCGTTCAGTGCAGCAACTCTCGATGCCTGAACGTCTAGTGACATCTCTATACCATTCTCGATGCTCCGAGTGGTAAGCTAAAGGTACGTCATTGTAGCTCGTCCGCGCGATGAACTCATGTCGATGGTTCCACAACTCAATCGACTCGCTGGCTGCCTATATGAACTGCTGGCCACGTGATGGCCCATGCTGTCCCTGACGAAGAAAAAACCTAATCTCAGCCGCGGAATGTGGGGGATGAGGTCGATCCTAAATCATCCCAAACTTTCCGAGCACGCGATCTGGATGATGCCACATCTGCGATGAGAAGCAGATCAACGAAACTACTGCTCGAAACGTGTCGGACTGGATCACAATACCGTTGTAGTCCTGACCTCTATAAAAGTACGGACGCCACTGCACACAAGGATTGGTCACATAATTACTCCTAAATGTATAACAAATCAATTAAAACTATTCTATAAAACGAAATGTTATATACTAACCACGAATGTCGTGCACTCGTCAAACCACAGCTTGTACAGGTAGAACTGATCTCCATGCTAACGGGTGTGGGCCGGAAGCCATCGAAGGCCACTTGGCACTGCGTCCTGAGTAATCTGCGCACCCGTCTCCGCATGTAGTGGTGATGTATGTGGAAACCGCTCCCACGTCCAGATCATCAGCAAGGCGAACCATCCACCAAAGTCACCACCCAGTGAAGAAGATGCAGTCATCTGCAGCGCCGATCTACCCATCTCACGGTACAAGTAGGATAGCACAGCTGCTCCCCAAACAAACCTCCCCGCTCTACGCCAATCCTCCACCAAAAGTAGGTACTGCAGGTGAACTGAACCTCCGGACCGATCGGAGAACAAGACACCTCCCATCAGAGACAGCGCATACGCTCTTGCAAACTGCTCTGTCGTCTGGGGTGATGTAGAAAGCAGTAGCTCATCGAAAGTCTCCTGAGCCAAGCAATTCGGATGACGCCGCCACCAAGATCAGTAGGAGCCCGTCCTAACAGTCGAAGACACATAGCCGACCAGTCCTCGTCTGGTATGTCTACTACGACGACATCACCGTCGATCGCTAGACCGGTCAGTGTCGTAACGTCCTCTAGGGTGATCGTCACCTCACCGAACGGCATGTGGAAGGTCGATGTCTCGGGTCGCCAATGCTCTACGAGCGCAGTAATCAAACCCCGATCACCGGTAAGAGGGGCTAGTGGCAGAACACTAGACAAGGCCGCATCGGCGAGATACGGCAGGTTAAGTGGATGGTATCGCACTAAATTGCCCATATGACGAATGTGGTAAGATCGATCACCAGCCTATAATTAATGCACAAAACTTATATTAATTCAATTCACCTAATATTTATATTTATATATCTAAACTAAACTTATTCTAATATACTCGTAATTTAATCTAATTCTATTCGTAATTTAATTTAATTCTATTCGTAATTTAATTCTATTCTATTATATTATTCAGCTAATAAAAAACTATAGAAATAGTTTGAAAACTTACCTCATTTGCCCAAACTGCGTCAATACGATGGTGACCATGCCCCCAAAGAAGTTTCGGATCCACCGGAGCTGTATCGATTGTCACAGGTGGTGGTCTCATCGAACAAGGATCGATAAGCATAGGAACTGAAGAAAAAAAATTAGAACATAAAAAAATTTGCTGCCGGCGGCGAGAATCCGGCCACCGCCAACTTACTCCTGTAGCGTTCGCCGCCGCCGCCGCAACGATGCCCTCGCCGCTCTTGGACCCTTCCTCTGCAGGGCGCCTGCTGCTCCAGTGGCGGAGGGATGTTTGACTTGACTTGCAATGAATTGTAATAATAATCATCAAATTAAAAATCTTTGATAAAAAAAAAGTGCTTATTGTTATGAAATAACAAGGAAGAGGAACATACACAAGAGTAAGAGTAGAGACACAAGAAGAGAGGGGGAATAGAGCTTTCTTATTCATGTGTTCCTTAGTACAATGAGATCATCTATTTATAGGCACACATCACATAACCTCTACATTCTTACAATCAATATACATGAATGTGAGAATGAATGTGAAATAGAAATGGGGTGGGGGGTTACATGTAACACCCAATTGTGCAACTAATGTGTCATATGGAGAAATAAATATAAGGAGATGAGTTACATAGAACTTGTAACATACCATGGAGCATCTAATGTTGGTCATCCATAATAATAATAATATTTTCATAACACTCCCCCTTGGATGACCACTAGACATGAATATGCCTTGTTAAAACCTTACTAGGAAAAACCCTGTGGGATAAAATCCTAGTGAAGGAAAAAGTGTACATAATCATCATAATACGCTATCTGAATCCGCCTCGTTAAAAACCTTACCAGGAAAACCCAGTGGGAAAAACCATGGTTAAGGAAAAAAGAGTGCAGTGCGTATATGCTCCCCCTCATGACAACATCAAAGTATAGTGTTGTGAACAAATCTTTCAAATCTTCTCATGGTAAGCTTCTTAGTGAACAAATCTTCTAGATTGTCACTTTATGCATGATCCATTAGGACCATTTTCTTCATACATGATCTTCAAGATCATTTTTTATGAAGAGAATCCACAACTACAAGTCATTTAGACGTGTTGAATAACAAATCTTAACCAAACAATTCATAACAAGTCTCATGAATTGTTGACCATTGTGCATGATCAGTTGCTATTGTGATTTCTTTGGAATCTCCATGAGATACTTGTACGACCATAGGTAAACAAATTACTCATCTATGATCCTCATCGTTACCTATAGTAACGAAGTATAGCGAGATACATTTTCGTTCTAACGACATTAACATACGGTACTTCAGGACCTAATAATTCACTTTTATCTCAATGCCTAAATTGATCATTGTTCACTTCTAGTGACCATGTGATCATTAAGCTGTTGAACATATGCAATTTTTTTCGTACAAAATTGTCCTTTCACCTTTCCGACATTGTCGTACTGATCCAAAAAGGATCTTAAATCCTTCATGTTCAATTTTCTTTCTTTAAGCAATCCATGTTGCATGAAACTCTTCTGAAGTTTAATTTTCTTTCATCAAGCAAAACATGCTTTATGAAGCTCTTCTGGAGTTCATATCAACTAAAAGATATGAGATCATTATAAAATAATTTCTCGACTTTTTTCTTCCAAATAACTATAAAACTTAGTTAACACAATTGTATGCAAACAATTACTTCATACCACACGGTCACAAGTAAAAGGCACGTCATACACACAATATCACTTAACCAAACCATATTCATAAATCAAACTCATAACTAAAACCACAATATCACGCACATAAGCTTATATTTCATTACACAATCACATATGCCAAATGCAAATGCTCTAATGCACTTTATTCAAATTTAATCACGCAAGGCTTATTCGACCACTTCCTTTAGTAGATATTCACTTAGATGAATATACCATATTCATCCATTTTATTTCAACCCATACAAGGGATTGTTTTATCGATCGATATTGTTCTCGAGAACGTCACATGTTTGCTTCCGGCAAACTAATCCTTCAAGGAGTTTCGTATAAATATCATTATCAAGGGATCCATACAAATAGGCTATCACAATATCTACCAAATGCAAATTTCATGCCTTTTGAATTGCCAAACTATTTAAATTGCACAACATAGTTGCATCCACCACAAGAGAGTATGTCTCTTCATAATTGATGTCAGGTTTCTACCAGAAACCTCTCACGAGAAATTGTATTATATCTCTCGCAATTTCCATACGCGTTTGCACAAAACCTATTTGTATCCCGTTAGTTTTACATCTTCAGGTGTAGGACTTCTGGTCCAAAACTTATACCAAATAGCCTAATGCTTTCTTTTTTTATTGGCCAAGATATATTTCTTTGCATGCATCAATAGACTTTTACTTTTGATCCTCTTTGCATCTATCACGTTCAGTGCTCCAGCGTAATCAAAACCCTTGTCGACAATAAATACACTTCGGTTCCAAATTTTTTCATACAAGCAAATTAATTGAGATATCTTCATTTTAAACCTTTCAGCTACCTACTATTCTTCTGGAACTATGATCTCAATTTTATGACTTGACTCTTCTAGAGCTATTTTATCCTCGAGTTTACCGTCTTAATTTATAGCTCCTTCCTTTCTCGAGGATTTTTATCCTTGGAACCGATTGGTCTACCACGCTTCATGCGCTCGTTTAGACTCATTAGATTATCCAATATGGACATCAATTTGTATTGGAGCATTCACAACTGGGCATTTGACATAATCACTCCTTTTAGTGAGTAAAAAGGCGTTTGGCAATCAATACGTTTTTTTCCTCCATGAATCTCCATATGAACTTCAGGTTCATGTTTCTTCGTTTGAGGATCAAAATGAGATAATGATGATTCCAACTCACATCTATGCCCCAGTGTTTACTTTTCTCCCCCTTAACGTTCGAAAAGTAATTCATCAAAATGATGATATTAGCAAAAAGAGTCATGAACAAATCTCTCATTGCAATGGACACCATGTCCAACATAAGTTCTCATGGAACTCATAACGTGTTGTGGTGGATCAATTGGGATGTATTCTGCAAACCCAAATTTTCTAGCATTTTAAATGTTTGGTCCCTGACCAAAACCATTTGTATGAAAGGGGAGAACTTATGATAACTTGTTGGCTTTATGCGAATTAATGATATCATATGCCTCGATAAGAGATCGATAGACTTAGTTTGTTCTCATAAGAGAAGTTCTGTTTGATTGGATAATCATCAAAATATATCCATCATTCGGCAACTAATCTCGCAAACATCAGGTTGCATTTAGATAACAGACATATATGATGATATAGTTGATGAATCAACCAAAATCATAAAATTCATATATGATTTGCACGGTGAGTGTATTTTTCTGCATACACTTTTATAAAATCTCAACAAATTCAATTATTTTCACGAGTATATTCTCCTCGAGACCATGTATCACATAATCAATCTTTTGATTGATGAATTCTCTGAACTCTCACTTAATTTCCGTATGATATCTCAATCATTTTCGCATCTGTATCCGGGATGGTATGACCGGACATGCCAAAATAAAAAGTTATCCGATCTTGCAAACTTCTGGTTTACACTTTCATATGTACTAATATACATGGAGTACAAATTTCTCCAGTGAAGTATATGTTCTCTTATAACACATTTATGATGCAATATCAATTATGATATTCTTTTCTGTGAATATCTTCATAATTCGGTAATACATCTTCAACTGAGAGTTTAGTTCATTCACGTCTCAAAACATTAGCTCTTCTGGAGCTTTCATATACTCTTGTACTACATTTTGGTCATTAGGAACCTTTTGATTTCGGTGAACTATTGTGAGCACAAATCCATATTGATAAGAATATTGTCACACTATTTATCACCAATATATTGTTTAGTTACTTCATGTAACAAAACACAATCTCTTCCGGAGCTTTTGATTACTTTCATACTATATGATATAATACCAGTATTGACTTTTGCAAATATTCAATTCTATACAAAAATATACAAAATAATAATAATAATAATAATAATAATAATAATAATAATAATAACATATATGTGTTTCATAACACATTTCGGCATACGAAGATTACAGTATATGATCATGACTTTTGCTACATGAATTATCATCTTCATTTATAATTATTTTATTTTTCACTTCCGGTGAAAAGAAACATTTGCTGATTGTCATTATCCAAACTTCCCATGTATTTTTTCATTGCAATGGTAACTCATATTTCGATATTTTTGTTACAAGATCCACATATATAAAATAAGTTCATAAAATTATATGAACAAATAACAAGATCAAATAATCTCTCAAAGACATTGAGATAGATAAACATACTAACAAGAAACGACATGAAAATTTGTATACCTTGATCGTGTTGTGATCTTACTCAAGTATATTTGATTCTGTAGAGAGACAATCACCAACCATGACTTTGGCAGAGCTTCGTGCTGATAACGTGTTATGAAATAACAAGGAAGAGGAACATACACAAGAGTAAGAGTAGAGACACAAGAAGAAAGGGGGAATAGAGCTTTCTTATTCATGTGTTCCTTAGTACAATGAGATCATCTATT